TATGATTTGGTTGTCTTGACCCTTATTTTATGTTTGCCTGCAACTTAAAACTAAATTCTGAGTTCATTTCTGTTTCTGTACCCTGGTGATTTGATCCCTACCTCCTGTTGATGTTTGATGTGCTGCCACGTTTGGGCTGAATTGATGGTAGTTTCAAAAATGAGGCCCATAAATTAGATTAAGATATTTGTGTGTGTTTTTGAATGTTACAGGTAGGAAACGGTTTTTGTAGTGATATAAACAATGAGACCTGCAGTATAATGGAAACTGTTGAAACCCATTAACTGCTGAGGGCAACAGCTGAATCACTTTTTTTTCTACTGTTTAACCATCATGCTCCTGTTTACAACTTTGTCCTGCGGAAAGAAGCACAGCAATACTGAAGGGGTTTAAATGATACACATGCAGGACATGTATATACTGTCTTATTTTAAACCCAAACCATCAACAAACAGGGCAGTCCTTCTCTATTGTTTAACCATAATGATTGACTTCAGATTACATAGACAGCATTAAAGGCACAGCATGAAGGCAATAATTATGGCCTGCCCAGTATAGTTGTCTCTAAAGTTAGTATATGTGTTCTAAACATGTGTGAAGGACATTTCACCAAGTTGGAGAGCTGCAGTTTTCTGCTATCCTATAGTGCCATGTTTGCTATAGTCACATGCTGATTACATGGACAAAGTCAGGTCAACAGTTTCATGCCTGTCAGACAAAGCAAACCATCAGCTTCTCAACAGCCAAGAATTCAAAGAGCTTTTGAATTCCTGTTTTCTGAACATTTAACTGAACACAAATGTGCATTTGTACATCACTCAAGGCTACTTCACAAATGCATTAAATGAATGGATTGATGATTATATCTCACTGTAAAATCTACCTGACTTTATCCATATAACATTTGATTCAGTGTTGTAATTCATGATCATAGATATACACTGTCATGGCTGTTATGTGTGCGTGTCACATGGCATGTCTAGCTGTGGTTTGCTGATGCTGTTGCTGCATGCTGTTGACATTGAGCTATGCTGATTGCCATAAAGCTTCTTGTCAGAGTCTGAGGTTGCATTAACTCTCAGGATAATTTAATCTGAATGCTTTGTCCAGTTTCAGTTACTCCCTGCAAAAAAATGTTTTAGTCGTGAGTTAATGAGCTCGCTCTACGCCCTTTGGTTGGCTTTGAAATGTTTCCAGAGCTCCTTAAAATAGAAACTTTGACACATTTGAATACATTTGCTGAGATAATTAAACCTAAAAGCACTCTGACAAGTTTGTTTAATTCAAGGCATGTTAAAGGAAGTGTTTGTGTATGATCGTAATGCCTCAAAGTCTATTTTTCTTTCCTCTGTGTGTCCAATTATGTGTGTGTTCATGTCTATGTGTATTGTGTGTATAGCGCGGGACTATGAGATTCAGCGAGACTGTATTGAGTTGGGACGCTGCATAGGCGAGGGTCAGTTTGGAGACGTCCATCAAGGAGTCTACATCAGTCCGGTTCGTGGTCTTTTTCTCACTGAGCTTTTGAAACATGTTAAGATGTGACAAGTTTTACCTCTGAATCTGAATGTGAAAAATGTATTCTACTTTACGTTATCCTCTTCCTTTAAGGGGTTCATAGATGGCTGAAATGTGATGCTTTTAACCATTTTATTCAAACAAGGACATTTTGTAGAACCATCCTTTTACCTTTAAAGATTTGATTTGTTAGTTGTTTAAATCTATGAATGTACATGTGCATGTAATCAATGCAGGCAATCTGCAATTTTCTCTTTGCCCTTTCTCAAGCACTTGTTGCAAAATCATTTTAAAGCTACACTAAACAAAAGAACTTGCATCGTAATATCAGAAGCATAGAAGTCCTTCAGACAGTGAATATGTTCTCTCTGGATGCTTCTGTTGTACTGCGTCTTACTTTTTTGGATGTGTTTCATGCAGGAGAACCCGGCACTGTCTGTGGCAGTGAAGACCTGTAAGAACTCCACGTCAGACAGCGTCAGGGAAAAGTTTCTCCAAGAAGCTTGTAAGTTCCTGATGTGTGTGTCTCAGATGTGACCTGCACCTTTTCAAGACGTTCATTTTTTGCTGACCTTCTTGTTTTCTCCATAGTAACCATGCGCCAGTTTGACCACCCTCACATTGTGAAGCTGATGGGAGTCATCACTGAGAACCCGGTCTGGATCATCATGGAGCTCTGCACACTTGGAGAGGTAGGACTCTAATGAGGTTTTGTATAATGCTTAAAATAAACAGTACGTTAACCTTGATGTTGTTAGCATGTAAAAATCAGCATGGACACTTGGCATTTATCATCTTTTTTTCACGGTCGATATTGTCACTCTCTCACATTCCTTTGTCTGTGATTTTTTTCTTCCCCACAGTTACGGTCATTTCTCCAGGTGAGGAAGTACAGTCTGGACTTGGCCTCTCTCATCTTGTACTCATATCAGCTCAGCACAGCTCTTGCATATCTGGAGAGCAAGCGCTTTGTACACAGGTATGCAATATAATGTCACTAAAAATAAACAGATACCGATATGCGAGAATTTGAACATGATAATAGAATACATAAGAGCTGCCAATTTATTAATCTTTTGAAGTGTGTCGAGTCAATTTATTCATTTATAGTCATTCAGTCAGTAGTCATTTTAGTGTTTTGTCTTCTTCAGGGACATCGCAGCGAGGAACGTGTTGGTGTCGACAGCGGACTGTGTGAAGCTCGGGGACTTTGGGTTGTCACGCTACATGGAAGACAGTTCTTATTACAAAGGTAATAAAGTACCTCTATCTGCAAGGTGTTCCCATAAATGCAAACTTCACCATCTCCTGATTACTCCCTTCTGTTCGTCACAACGTGGAAAGTACTATTATTAATTATTGGACTGACATTGGACTTTATTCCTGTTTTTCAGCATCTAAGGGTAAACTTCCTATTAAATGGATGGCTCCTGAGTCCATAAACTTCAGGCGTTTCACCACAGCCAGTGACGTCTGGATGTTTGGTAAGTTAACATTGAAACTGTCTTTTGCCTGACTTTCATTCTGTATCACTCTTGTTCTGATGTTTTGTGCTGTAGAACTGGATTCCGTTTTAAGTCTGCTTCTGGTTAAGCCTTGACTTTTCCTCTGCAGTGTTTAAGAGCCAGTAGGTGGCTGTGGCATCGTGATTGAGTGTTTATGTCTTTCTGTCTTTTCAAAGGCGTCTGTATGTGGGAGATCTTAATGTTTGGAGTCAAGCCTTTCCAGGGTGTGAAGAACAACGATGTCATCGGCAGGATAGAAAACGGCGAGCGACTGGCCATGCCCCCTCAGTGCCCTCCTACTCTCTACAGCTTGATGACAAAGTGTTGGTCGTATGACCCCAGCAAGAGGCCACGCTTCACCGAACTCAAAACACAGCTAAGGTACTTAATGGAGTGTGGTCTGAAAGCATCTGTGTGCGTGCGTGCGTGCGTGCGTGCGTGCATGTGTGTGTCTTTGTGTTTCTCTGTAGGTGTGAGCCATTTGGGGCTCAGTGTCATGAGGAGATTTTAAAGGTGTAATATGTGATTTTTGATCTGGTAGATGTCACACATCAGCACCAGTCTCTCATACCAATACAAACTCCCTCAGTGCATCGCTCCCCTTCTCCCCCATCCCCTCCTTTAGTGTTTCAACCAAGTGCAGATGTTTGAAGGACATATCTCTGTCCTGATATTCAGCCCAAAGTTGATTGAGTTCTCATTTCTTTTAAGTATTTTTGACCAATGAAAGCATTTTCTTTGGTTTGGAAAGTTGGTTATCCTGCAGTTGTACTCATGTGACGATACTCCCCTCTTTAAGCCTCTGAGTGACATGTTAACAAGCTGAAGGAAGCGTTATCCTGTCAGCTTGAAAAACAGAGATGCGAACAACAAACCCAGGGGGAGTTTGGCTTTACTCCTCTTTTGAGGAAGTCCTAACTCAACAAAATATTTAGTTAGGATGTATTTGATATATGCTTCATTAATGTTTAAAATGTAGTATATTATACCTTTATCAAGTGGACAAGAGAAACAGTGATCAGTCTTGCAATGCTCTACCATTGAGATGTTAAGAATGTTAAATTGTCATTCTATCTGTTTTATTTCAGGGTCAAACGTTTAACTCGTGTGTTTCCAGAATTAAAGCTAAGACCTTTTGGTTTTGTCTGTTATTCTGGACAGTTTTTTATTACGTTCCCTTCCGTCTACCTGTTTTCTAAAAATGATATTCTTCTGACATTTGATCACTTTAATTTAGCTCCATCTTCATTTACATTTTTTTCTTCCTGTATAGGTTTGGTGATAGGAATGTGCCACATTCAATATTTTTTTAGTGTTCTCTGCACCGTCCCGTCCTAACAGCAGGTGTCACTGTTGGTCTGCTTCATTTATTTTGTTGGATTACCATGATTGATTAAGATAGACCAAAGACCTTGAACAAATCCTAAACACTCAAGTGTCAAAATCTCCCCTTTCTCTTTGGCTGATGGCTGTACGTCAGATCAGAATGAAAGCTTTAAGAGAATGATGGACTAGCAGAAGAAACATCTGTAGATGATCAAATACAGGCAGATAAGCACAGAGACAGTAATGTAACACAGATGAAGTGACATTAACTGTTATTAAGATGTCAGTATGGATTTTTTATGGATGGCAGTATGGATTTTAGTGTCTTGTCAGGAAGACTTTTTCAAGGAGACAGTGAAGAAATCATTTCCTGTGTGTTGAGACGATAGCTGCCATAAACAATGTATTGGTGTCACTCCAAAATCAATTCTACAGATAACAGTGTTTATTTCACTTTGCAAATGTAACATCCCAAACATGCAGTGGATGTTTGACTATGACAGCAGATAATATATCAAAACTATTACAATTTGCACATGTTTTCTCTACAGCAGTGTGGTATAAAGTTCAGCCTTTTGGTATTTGAACATGGCAGAGTTTTTGGCTTTAATTCCAGAGTGCTCTGGAACGTGGTCATTTTTACCTTTAAAGGTGTTCTGCATTGTACACATCTCTATTGGGCGTGTATAGAATTATTTCCCACATTTTCCAGTTGTATAGAAAGTATTACAAGAGAGTTTCAAAAGGGTTCAACACCTTCAGATTTGACCTGAAAGTCGTCATTCAGGAGTACTGAGCCAAAACAAAACGGTCCAAAAGCCTTTCAGACACCACGTATTCATCCTGTTTAGGCTGCTGACATTATGGTTGGCATGGCAACCACGAGGCGAAGATGACTGAGATAGATTAAATGAGTTATCTCCGTCACGCCTTGCTTCTGTATTAAATGATACATCACTGTCTTGCCTGGAGACAGAGAAAATAACCCGGGCATGTTGTGATCAGATAAAGCAGAGCTAGACGACACTGTACACTATTTCAAAACTGTCTGAGTAAGCCCAGAGTATATCAACGTCATGATATTCCCCTTCAAGCACAAGGGGTCCAGCATAATTGTGAGTCATACAATGTTGAATTATTAGCTGGGCGAGACAATTCAGTGTTTGTGGGAAGTTTTAATCAAATGTACTGAGATATTCACTCTGTAGTTACGTGACAAAAACACACCTTTTGAATTAAATCCTGAGAATCTGAGAGTACAGTATCGTATATTATTAAAATCCAAATAGGGAGGGAAAAATGTAATTTCCCTAAGAAAACACAGAAAGAGTTCAACTTATGAAACCTGACAGGTTTTGTGATTTATGTGAGAAATTGTAGGATTACACTGTGTGATTATAAGGGTCCTAACAGGCATAATAATATGACAAGAACACAGAGATAATCATTTTCATTGAACATGCTTTGACACAAACTGGATCAATTAAACTAGATTACATGTTCATGCACAGTAATGATTTGAAGACCTTTTATCCTGCTCTGTTAGGTCTGAGATAGCTTCAATCTAAGAGCCTCCTTCAAACTCCCAAAAGAACTGAAGTAGCTATCAGAAATATGAAGAAGATTGTGGGACTGAATGAGTATAATCACACTTTGTTTTTAAGGGTAAAGTAGATGTCAAGTAGGAAACAAGCTTTCCCCAGCCACCATGACTCATGCAAAATCATACAGGCATGATCAGACCTGAACTTTTCTGGAAGTGATCTTTCAGCATCACCTCTGATGATAAGATAAATAAACAGAAGTGATGCTGCTAGTGTGAGTTTAAGATTACTGTGAAAGCACAGCAAAACTGCGGTGGATATTTCCATTGACAAAAAAAATCACACCCAATTTCACAACTATTGAAGACACAACAGAGTCGAAAGCGGATGAGACACCAGTACACCACATCAGTTATAATGGTGCTCCGGTTTCATCATCTTTTATTTCTGGATCAGCTTGATTTGAAATGTGTGCGTGTCCATTTCTAACAAATAAAGCAGTTTTGCTGTTTGAAATGGAACACGTTCATAACTAGTGACATCCCATTCTACAGATGAACTGCGGGCTAATACAAAACAAGATATTTCACATTTTGATATTATCAATAACAACATATCTTATACATTTTAAAAGTTTGAATCTATGTTAACCAGCTCATTTAGCCAATTATTTAAAAAAAAATACAGATAACTGCATGACAGTGAGTTTAATTAATCTGAAGAAAACAATCGTGTGTAGCGTTTATGTTTCTTCAACATACATTTCTGCACACATGTAAAGACACCAGGTTTCAGCAGCACAGGGAGATGCCATCATTGTTTCCCTCAACATGCACATTCTCCCGTTGTCCTTCTCCCTCTCACACACAGAAACAGGAAAATAAGAGCATGTAATGAACTCCTGTGGTTTTATAGGTTTTCTCAAAACCAGCATGACTCACACCTTAAATTCCACCACCATTTCTCTTCCAACTTTCCTCTGGTCAGCTTACCTCTCTCTACTCCTGATTCTACTCCTATTTTCTCTTCTCAAACTGCTCTCTTTTTTTATGTATTAATCTTCTCCTCCTGACCTCTCTCACCTCCATATTGTGTCCTGATTTCACTTTTCCTACTTTGGCTCCAACATGCACTGGCCTCTGCATCCTGCAGCTCTACTCATCACTTTGACACATGTTTAGTGTGTATGTGGTTTTATGCTTTTATGGGCTGCAAAGCCAGGGTGGAAAAAAAGCATGTGACCTGCGTTGAGCGCTAATCTGACAGAATTAAGAACATATATTTTTAATTGGCTGTTATGGGTTGTCGTTGGAAAAAAAGAAAAACCTCAGCCAGTGCCTTGGAAACCAAGTCAATATTGACCATGTTAACTGTGGTCCCTGGCTATTAATAGAGGAAAGTTATGCCATATAAGGTCATACAGTTTGGTTTACATTCGTTCTGGCTGGCTTTTATATCATAATATCAATTATAGGTCTCTCCTGCCAAATATGCAGCTCTCAGCTTCTACAACAGTTTTTCTAGATGGTGGACCAACATGAGTGTGTGTGTATGGATGTGTGCATGTGTGTGTTTACACAGTGGGCAGCTGCCAGGAGCTCCAGATTTCCATAGAACAGAGAGAGAGAGAGAGAGAGAGAGAAAGTAGAGAGAGAGAGAGAATGGAAGAAATGAAAAATGCTTGTAGAACTCTTGCAGCTCCTTACACTCCTGGTTTAAGCTTGGGATGCTCCTGCTCCTCAGATCGTGTTATCCTGATAGTGAGGTCTATGTGATGTGAAGGACTTTAGCCTGTAGCATCGTGGGGATTTTTTGTTCAGCAGCAGAGCAGATTTTAGTCACCCTGCCAGCAGGAGTCAGTTTTATCGTTTAAGGCATTGCTGTTGTTTTTTTTTTTTTGGAGCTACTCACATTGACCTTCAGTTGTGTATCAATGCTGGGTACCAGCCGTCTGTCATCTTTTAGAGGCCATGTCTTTTTCTAGAAGAGCTGGATTTGATATGTGCTCTGTTGCTTTTCCAGTGGCCTGTTACTAAGGTAAAGTATTGTCTTCTCAGGCGATCTCATTTTACAGTTCTACCAAATGATAGATTGATTAGTTTACTTTACCTTTGTTTATGTGTAACAGTATGCAATGTTCAGTGCACGCTACCATACCAGTGCTCAAATGAAGGATGTCTGGAGCGGCTATTTTGTATTTAAAGGGTGTGCTCCACTGGGAGAACTTTTTTTTCCACGTTCTTCTTATCTTATCTTATCTTTAATCGTAATCCATCCAAATTAATACTCACAGTCATACGCATTAAAGAGCTTTGGCCCCTTTGTAGTTGTTTTCCAAGTTCAGGCTAGCTACAAAGAGATGCCTTATGAATTAATTTCCGTGCAACAGATGAAGCACGAAATCCACAGCCTTAATTTTCCTGCAAAACACATTTCAAAAGTAAAACTAAAGCTACAATCAGGCTTGAGTTTGATCTCCCAAATTACAAGTCGTTTTCCTACAGTGGTGGTTGAGCATAACAACGTAAATTCTGTATTTTGATTGGATTTTGTTAAACCGATTTCTCTTCTGAAGACATGTTTACACATTTACGTCAGCCGTACATTAGCGTGGACGTATAGAAACATGTTTCCTTTGCTTGTCCGGTCCTTTTCTCAGTGCACTTGAACCTGGTTCTCTCATCCTACTCTCATCAGTAACAGTTGTATCCGACAGCATTCAGGTGAGACAAACACGAGAGTACCAAGGGGTGTTGCTGAAAAGTCTTGAGATTGAGCAGTCAGCCTCAGCCTGAGTAAATAAACATACCAGGCTGTGTTATTCCAGGTGGTGTTCTGGTGGTCGAGGTGGGGGCGGAGACAGCGAGTCAGTGTAGATGCTGCTAGTTGCTGCTGATGTTATCGTCATCACACGTATTCAAACATGATGTAATTTACTGTAAGGCGAGCTTTGACGATTTATTCATGACTGGTTACAATCAGAGTTGATGTCTAATAACTGTGCTCATGTGGACAGTGAATAAAAAAGGGACAATGTTACAATACCTTGATGCTGTTAAACACAGGGAAACAGCATTTACAAGCAGCTTGAGACGCTCGGGTTATTTTCGCACATACCATTATATGATTTAGTGTCGTCTGTATTTGTTTGTTTAACTCGTGGGATTAATAAAGTCCAGCACAAAAACTAAAACCTCTCCTGCAGTCAGAAACTTGTGTCAGAAATGAGAAACACATTTAAAATATTTGTCTCACAGGGCTGATGGAGACAGAAAAAACAAAGTAAGCCAAAATAAAAGTGAAGTGAAAAAAACTGGGAAAGGACGGAGATTTCAAAATGATATCTATGAATGTAATTTCAAAATGTATAGATTAGATTAAATATTATCGAACAGGGCTCATCCAACAATAACACAACTTATACGTGCCAATATTTGACTTGAAAAGTAAATCAAATAAATTGTGAAAATACATGAAAATACAAACACAGAAGGAAAAGACTTTAACATGTAGAATAATAGTGTAAAATAGCATACACAATTTAAGTTCATTTTCATATATTTTATTAATAAAGCTGAATAAATATTATTTATTGAAAATAATATAAATGTATACATAATATTAAATATATATATTATAACAATATATTTAAAACAATATTCAGAAGTGATTATACATTCTTGATTATGTTGATTTCAGTATGATTGTATATATGTGTTTGATTGTGTTGTGATGCAAAAGAAAGACAAGACCTGACATGAGACTGACTTTGACAGCTGCAAGGACACAATCCTTCTCACACACAAACATAAACACACACACACACACACACACACACACACACACACACGTACGCAAACACAGCAGGAGACAACAGAACATGTGTTTGGGTAGGTGGGTGGGTGGGTGGGATGGGGGTTATCATGTTACCAGAAATAGCTCTTACCCTTGTTTAGCAAAGGAGACAGAAAGAGTGTGTGACTGGGTTCAGAGTGTGTCCAGTGTTTGTGTGTGTTGGATTGATCATTAGTGGAGCTGTCCTCTCCTCAGCAGCATTGTCTTCCTCTTGGGGATTCTGGGTTCAGTTTAGCTGCGGTTTTCCCAGGAAGCAGGTCAGTACGGTTAAATTCAGTGTTGTATCTTTGGCTGCATCACACAGGAACAATATTGGGTGGGCGGGTGACGCTCTTTGGCCTTCAAGTGATTGAATTTGTTCTCAAGCAACATTAACCTCAAAGAATTGTGTCAATATACAAGAAAAGCGTACAGGTTTACAGGTTTAACAAGCTTTATTGATATTGTTACTTAGCGTAACTGTTTTTATCTTATTATTTATGGAGTATTATTGGGAGTTCCTCGAGCATCCTGGGATGAACCACAACTTGAGGGAAAGACTGAGCGAGAAGTCATTTCCTAACAGAATGGAATCTGTTTTTCTAATGACTTTAGTTTGTGCTCTGGTGCTCTGTACACACACTGTGAGGAATGCTTTGTATGCATGAGAGTGTTTGGTTGTTTAGCACACAGTAATGAAGCTCTTGATATACACAATGATAAGTGTGTGTTTGTTTGTTTGTTTGTTTGTTTGTGTGTGGAGTTATCAGTGAGTTATTTAATAAGTCCAGCAAAAGGGGGAAAACCACTTAAGCTGACAGTTTCTTATTAAAAATAAAAGTCTATTGAGGGAAACCCTGTAGTGTACCGTGTTCATAACTTATGAGTAGACATGATTTCCTGCTATGGTTTCATTTCAGTCATGATTATACTTGGCCAAACAGTGTAGCCAGAAATGTTGCACCATCATATATTTGCATCTATTTAAATATGAATGGTCACCACTCATAGACACAATAGCAATAGAAGGAAAGAGCATGGATTGGTGCAAAATAGAATTATTAGAAAGCGTCTTTGAGAGTGAGTTGACAGTTCGATAGAAGCATATAGAAATAGCAGCATACTGTTTGTGTTATGTTGTGTTGTTTTCTTCCTTATTTGCAGCACTATTTTAGAGGAGGAGAAACTCCAGCAGAAGGAGAGGAACAGGATGGAGATGAGGAGACAGGTCACTGTTTCCTGGGACTCTGGAGGTTCTGAGGAAGCACCGCCCAAAGTAAGGACCTCAAATACAGTAACTCGTGTTTTGTCTGGTCTGTCTGTCTGTCTGTCTGTCTGTCTGTCTGTCTGTCTGTCTGTCTGTCTGTCTGTGTCTGCTTGTATGAGTTCAGCAGGTGTTGTGATAATCTGTCGTGTTTGTGCTGTTTGCAGAGAGACACACTGATGATTGCATGTCCCATGGTCCCTTTAGTAAAGGATTAATGTCTCTCTGTTTTGCCCTAATGTGGAGTTAATGACATTTTAGTCTCATTATGAGGCATTAAAATGTAATAACTTGTATATCAGTTAATATGATGTTTTCTCCATTTGTACAAGCTTGGCTTTTTAAACACACAAGATCCCTTCATGCTCATTGTCTGTGTGCTGTTTTTGACTGGAAATTCAAGGTTAAGAATGACAAATGTGAAGGGTTTAAGTTATTAGATGTAGCTCAGGACATTTTCATTTGACACACAAGAAAATAATCTTCAGAAGTGAAAGATTACAGAATAAGCTTTTGTATGAGTAATAAAATGATCCTTCTGGCCATCCGAAATGCAATTAAATTTTTTAAGTCTGTGGGCTTTTTTCGTGTAATATGTCATTATAATAATCACCTCCTGGTGGCAATTAAGGGGTGATTATATAGAAGAATAGATTTGAGCAAAGGAGACTATTTTATTATGTGAACACATTTGTTCATTTAAAATAAGTTTAAAATACTTGATTTCTCGCCTTTGCCACTCCATTAAACCATCCCCCACTCCTGCCTCCTCTTGTTCTTTTCCACCTCACAGTTTGTTGCCCCAGCTGCTGGCTGCCTCACCCTCACTCACTGCCCCCCGTGCCCCTGCTGTTAGCATCTTTTAACTGCGTTTTTTGGTTACAACTAAAGCCATATGTTTTGAACAGTGTAGTATTTGAGAGACAAGAGATTCTTCTTAAGCCTTAAATCTTTCTGTTATCTTTCCCACATTAAAAAAGCTATATAAAATGTGGTTGTATGAATTATTGAATGTTGCAGTTGTTTTCATTTGTTGACAAGAGAAATGAATTAAACGTCTTGTTATGTTCGTGCTTCATAGGCACGGTCACTGTATGGCTTTGGTTACAGTATTGCTTATCAGTGCTCCAGCTCATCCCTGTCTCTCTCACCTCTCTACTACACGTCTCTGTCTTCTGTGCTATCTTTTCTCCCCCATATGTCCCTCCTCTACCTTTGTTTCTCTGTTTGCAGCCCAGCCGTCGTCCCTCCCTGCAGCCTACCATCAGTCTGGATTGTCTGTCTGCTCCTTCTCCTCTCCATCACTGCCATCCAAACCAGCGCTTTGCCTCCCAGCTTTCCCTCTGCCTTGGAAACCCTCATCCTCCTTCTCCCTGCACCTCCTCTCATCTCCCTACTTATTCACCCTACTCATCCTCGCTGCAGTTTCCCCATCACTTTTACTCTATTCCCCGTCCTCATCCACTTCCTTCTCAAAACAGCGCTAACTACAGTTACTCTTTATCTCAGCACAACACCAAGTTAAATCCTGAATCAACACCTCATCACAGATCATTGCTTCACAGCTTCTATTCTCCACCTCAAACCAATTCAGACAGCCTATCCAATGGCAGCTGCCCTCACCAGACAAGTCCAACGTCCTACAACTTAAACTCAAATCCCTGGAACTTGTCCCCACTCCTCTCCCACTCTAGTCCTAACCATAGCTCTCTCCCTAGCAACATGTCGAATGTCTGTCCCCACACCCTCCAAAACCTTCAGCCAAAGTCAAATTCCAACCCTAAAACCCTGCTGTCACCCAGCTTTTATCCTGGCTGCCAAACTGATCCTAGTACCCTCCTTCAACCTGACTCTGACCTGCAGCACTGGCGTCTTGCTGTGCAGACATGTGGGAAGCAGTCACTGGTCTCTCCTACCCCGCTTTCACCCACAAAACATGTCCTCTCCGAACCCTCTGCCTGTTCTCTTTCCTCCACCAACCCTCATCCACCTCTTCCCGCCCCTTGCTCTCAAAGACCCTTAAAGGCAGGTGCTGTTCTGTTAAACTGCACTAACACTTTTTTCCTCCAACAAACATTAAGCATTTGTGAGTGCAGTGTTTGCTCGCTCCGGTGACTGTAAAGTGGCATGTTTCTGCTTCACCTGCTGGTGTGTGTTATCTTAATTGAATGTCGAACATGCTGTTGAATGTCCTGTGTCGGGATTGAATGTATTTACAGAGGTTTGTGTTTACTTCAGGCATTGTGTTGATGTGACCTGGCTTATTGCACCCTATTTCCAGCCTGTTCTGGATGCCTGTCATAAATCCTTAACCCACGGGCTTACAGTTTAACCCGTCCAACACACTTGATGCTTTACAATGATTCATGGATAAGCCAGAAAATGTATTCAAGGATAATTGACAACACAAAAATCTGATATTCATGTTTTAAATGTGAAACAAAATTAAGTTGGGTATTAAAAACGTCTTTTTTTACACTGAATGGAACCAAAAGTTCAGAACTTATACTACTGGAGCTTGTAGGAAAGTGTGAAGCCCAGGATTAGGATAGTTGTGATGATTAAAGAGCTAGCTGAAAAGTCTTTCTCTACATAAGCCTGTTTACATGCAGAGGTGGCTCGCTCACCTTGACCAAGCTGTCAATACTACAACTCATGAGCCTGTTTTGGTAGGTGACCCTGCTTTTCCAAAGAATGTTTAGCCCTTCTCTTGACTCATATTTACCCCCTACCCTCCCTGAATCATTCAATATTAAAATATGCTAAAATAGCTAACTTTACTCTTCAATTAGAATATACTGTAACAGTCAGAGCTGCGTTTGGCACCATTTAGAAATGAGTGATGAACATGACAGAAATACTGTCTACCCTCAGTCAGCCTTCTTTTCAGACTTGAGTTTAAAAACTCTGCAGAAGAGAGAATTCCGTCCTGTTATAAGTATTAGAGAGACATTCCTGATGCAGAGCTATGCTAGACATGTTTGTGTGGGAGTGTATGATTTGTGCCCCCCAGTGTTACAGTACATTAGAAAGGAAATCTTAACACTGTGCTGGATAACATTCCCAAAATTCCTCATGGCTTCAAGCTTTTTCTATACAAGCTAATAACGGGTACGTGTGCCTCACAACAGCAGGTTCACTAATGAGAATTCTGATTTCATTGTGTACAAAATGTGCGTCCCTGAAGTTGTTTTGTTTGCATAGTTAGCGTTGCATTGCTTAATATATATTCTGTAAGTGGTTCTTAGCTGTTAAAGAAATAGATTAAAATGAACGCTGATGCATTTATATGTTGGCAAAAGCAAACCTAACAAAGTATGAGTACATACAGTATGTTAAGGAAAAGGTCAGCAAAGCCACAATTTGTACTGCTTTGCCAAGGAGCTACCAAGTCAAGACAAAAATAAAAGTTCAATACGGTATCTTAAAATGTCTGTGTAGGTTCTCACTCATCCGAGTCATGGTAAATTTGAAGCTTGATCCAAAGGCAATTGGACCGGTTGAAGGTCTTGAAGACGTTTCACCTCTCCTCCAAGAGGCTTCTTAAGTTCTAAACTATGTGGTGGACGGAGCTAGAAATGTAAGCCTCTGTGGATCGTATATATCGATTACTCACATAAGAGTCGTTATCTGAGTCGTTAATAGTTTCGCCTAGATTCGTTACCAGTGGTGTAGTACAGGGTAGACGCATGTATACAGAGTATACCCACTTGTTTTTGAGTCTCCATAGAGTATTCCCACTTCTAAATCTCTTTTGATTCACACCATTGATTGATTGATAATATTTAGTAGTTTGCAGCATTTTTTTTCCCTGATGGTGAAGGGATGACCTTCCTACTCTGTCTCTTATTGACCAGTATACTAAGTCAATGTGCATGAGTAGTCTCACATGTCACTGTTTATAGCAGAGGCTGTTTATCCTCTGCTGGACGGGTCACCTAAAAAAAACCTTTGGGGATAAAATTAAGAGTATACCCACTTCTTCAGCCACCATTACATCACTGGTCGTTACCAAAGTAGCCTCCTCTTCCTACACACTTTTGGCTTGAGGAAATTTTGTGAAATCTTGGACTACTTTATAATCAGATGCAAAACACCTCATTAACGAAGGTTGAATGAACAGTTTTGCGATTTTTCCACGGAGGGAGATTTAATACAGCAGATCAGCCATAGGGCTTGTGGCATGCAGATGGCACTCGTGTCATAATTGTTTTCTATTTTCATTGCCAGTAGATGGCACACATCAGCATACCGGCAGATATAAACTGCTACTTTTACTTGTTTTACCTTCAAGAGGTGAGTGAGGACTAAGAATCTTGCATAGCTCCCCTTTTGAATGAGAAAGGCTGGGCCTGGATTTGTATTGTCAATTCAGATTTTCATAAGAAAATGCTCCACATAGTAATGAGCCTTTTCTTTTCCTATTTCACTTCATGAACCTCACCCTGCAGTCTGTCTGTCTGTCTCCCCTGTGTTTATCTTGCTATTTTCACACTGGGTATTCCCAGGAAACCTCCTGCGACATAGATTGACTATGGCAGCGCTGAGAATCTGTTTGGGGCAGATTTTAAACTTCAGATTTGTTATTTTTCTGTGCCAGCATGTTCACACCATGCTGTATGTTTCCCTGTCTGAGTTTTCAAGCTGTTTGTCTCGTCCTCAGTTTCTGTGTCTTGTCTGCTTCTCTTTCCTCCTTCCTACTTTCGTTTTTCTTTCCTGTCTTTGCTGTCTCTTTCCCTCCCTGTGTGTCTCTGCATCTGTTTTGCTGTCGGAGGTGTGGTCCAGAGAAAGCTACTATGAAAGACTGTGGAAGGTAGTGGTTACAAAAACATCATGCAAGACATTAGCTCTATGTCGGAGAGGTTAAATCCATTTAGAAAAAACGGTTCCCTTTTTTATTCCGAGAGGGGAAACTGTTCATCAACTTTCAACAGCTTCATCACAACAAAGATCCTAAAAAGCAAGAAAGGAAACAAGGCTGTGGGTTTACTAAGCACTTCTCTTTTTGGCTCCTGGAGCCATGAATAGAAAAGGATAAATGATGATCCTTCAGAAAGGTTGGATTAACAAGTCTTATTTCTCAGGAAAACTCTCTGTGTAATACAGTTTTAACATTAAATGTTAGACAGAAGTCTTCCAGCTGCCGCTTGTCCCTATTTGAAACCAGAAAAAAAGGGCATGCTTCAAAGAGAGGTGTTACGTGAACATGCAGCCACAACACTTTGTTTACACGCCTGCATTACATCTAACCAGAGATTCTAAAAGCCCCTGACTATAACTGATTTCATAGCGTTAACCAATGGATGTCTGTGTTTGTATTACAGTTCAAACTAACAGCTTGCTGGACTTGCCGCCCAGTGGGGTGCCCCCTGTTTTGATTGAAAGCTAACCTTGCCACACAAACAGCTCCTGGGAGTTTGTGTGTTGATTGTCTGAATGACTTGGTGTCCTGTCTTCTAATGTTCTGTTTAGGGAAAACATTATTAGCAAGCATTGTAACTGTGTTTCTATTTTCCCTCCCTGTAACTCTATCATTGAACTTCTCTTCATCTCTCTCTTTTCTCTCTTTTATTTCTCTCTGTAGCCCAGCAGACCAGGTTATCCCAGTCCTCGCTCAAGTGAAGGTTTTTATCCTGGTTCCCAACATCCTGGACACTACCAGGTAGGCAGAGTCAACATGCTAAATCCACTTGTGCTGCCGCTGTGCTTGTTTTATAACCCTGATAAGGCAGCAATTTAGTCTCCTGTAAAGCAAGACAGCCGTATTTATAAAGCACATTTTAAAGGGTTTGACTTGCATTCAAACTTTAAGTATTAAATCATTGAACAGTACTGTAAGTTGTAAAACTTGAAAACACCAATTTACTGTCTCTGCCCTCCATCTCTGCTTTCAGATGGCAGGGTACCCCGGCCCTCACACGCTCCCCTCAGTGCCCAGTGCCCTGTACCCCCCACAGGCTACGATGCTGGAAACACACCACGCACACACACACCCCCGCCACCATGTCCACACACACTCACATGCACAGCACCTACCCCAGCCACATGGACACGACATGGCACTGTGGGGCTCCGCCATGGAGGTAAGTGACAGAATATTCACTCTTAAACACACACATAGACACACTAGGGTTAGTCATGACAGATAGATGCTGTCAAGATGTTGCAGTCAGAGTTTCTATTTACATATAACAATTGTTGAATCACATTCAGTCACTGCTGCTTTGTCAAATTCTCACAATTTAGAGTGGTAACATCTTGAATGTACAAGTCCATCTCATAGTGGGTAAATATTACTGATATTTTTTTATTTTTCTGTAAATAAATCTGTTTTTCTTTGTTTTCTTGAGAGTAAAATACTTCTATAGTTGCATTGTTGCCTGAAAGTTTTAAGAGAATAATGACTTTGTGAAGTATTTGGAGCGAACCCGGTCCACAAATCAACAAAAATATTCAAATATATAAATTACCCAAATCAACAGCCCTTTTACAGCATTTGATTTATAGTATGTGTGTCCATTCTCTCAGTTCAGCTTCTCATCAGTCTGGTGTATGTGTCCATCTGTGGTGTTTGTGTGTGTCTGTGTGTGTGCATGGTTCCCTTCTTCTTGTGTCACTTTGTTGTTCTGTGTTATGCATCCGTTGCTATGCTTGTCTTTTGTTGCATGCCTGTATTTGTGTTTGTGTGTGTGTGTGTGTGTGTGTAGGACAGGGCAGTAGACATGCAGCAGTGTGTAGGCCCGCAGTGCCTGTTAATGGAGGAACAGCTGATGATACAACAACAGCAGATGGAGGAGGACCAGAGGTGGCTGGAGCAGGAGGAAAGGCTGCTGGTAACACACTCAGCGCACACATGTTGGAAAATCACTCACAGCTTAAAAATACATAATACCTATTAAACAACTTGTGTGTGTGTGTGTGTGTGTGTGCATTTAGCACACAAGACTTAGGACTCCCTTTCTTGTTTAATGTCGTAATTCATGGTACAGATGGAAGAGTGTGTTGTTGTCGTTTGTTGTGCTAAAATTTCCCGCTTAGTTGCCATGTTTGACTTTTCAGTTTTGCTATTGCACTTTTTTTGTAAACTCCCTTTATGCATTTTGTGTTTTTCTACATTTGTGAAATCATCACATCCCCCTCAAACACAAACAAAGTTTACAAAGCGACTCTCGTTGTTACCCTGCTCTGATATTAAGCGATGACTGTAATCGAAAGAAGGTTTCTCTGAAATGATTTAGGAACCAAAATATTCTGAAGAAATACATTGATGAAGAATGTGATTTCGTTTTTTTTGGATTCATAACTTTTCTATGTTTGTGTTTCATTTATGTATTAATTACATTTGATCTCAGTACAGTAATAGTGCAGTGTCCCAGTCTTGTGCGCAGAGATTGAAAATAGGAAGTGAGGTCAACCACATGTTTCTGTGGTTATATCTGGATATTTGTCATTGTCCTTTTTACTTTTACAAAGAAGAAAAAATATTTAAAAGGGATGTAACTAACTTAAACTCTAGATGATATGGTGACAGACACTGTTTCACATACTTTATGTTAACACATTGTTATTTCTTCTTACTGCTCTCTCAAGTACAGCAGTAGAGAAAGATATACTTATATACTATTCATACTAAATATGAGTGTGTGTGTGTGTGTGTGTGAGAGAGAGAGAGAGAGAGTTTGTAGGCAGGTGTGGCCTGTGTGAATTCCAGGCTAATGATAGGCTTAGAGACTCTGACAGCCCAGTCAACAGTCTGTCTTTGACCCACAACCACTAACTGACAACACACAAGATTACTGTAAAGCTGGGGAGGCAAAAATGTGTGTGAGAAGATATGTGTGTTGTAGAATTGCTGTTTTTTTTTTTCTGAGAACTGTCACTTTTTGGAAGGGGGTGGAAAAGGGAAGGGAAAGGAATAATGGTTTGGGAAATAACGGCAGACATGCTCGTACACTGAAGGCTCCTTGGCAGCGTGCTCTATTCCTCCTCCTCCTACTCCTCCTTCTCAGTCCTCACTCTGTACGTCAGAGGCAGATATAAATGAGCTGGAGGCAGGAAGCTGGAGCTGAATATGAATTCTTGTCTTGATGAAAGTGTTGGCACAGACAGAAATACAGGCTGTTAGACAGGAAAACGCAAGAAGACAACACATCTGGAAAGGGAGATAAAAACAGACACAACACTGGAAACAACTTGGACACAATAAGATACACTCAGATAACTTTGATGAACTCAATGGCAATGCTGGTCTTCAAGTCCTGGTTTGGGAAACTGGTAGGCGCGTGTGTGTGTGTGTGTGTGTGAGAGAGAAAGAGAATAGCTGCAGGGATGATAGATGTGTTTGTATGGGTGCAGGTGCTTTTATGTGGTTTTATCCTGGACTTTTTCTCCATTTTGGGGTTAAAATTTCAGTCTGAAAAGTTGTCCTTAAGTTGGAAGAGTGTGTATGTTGGAGGACAGGTCTTGAGCTTCTGCATCCTGCAGCTTCGTTTGGTGTGTTCTTGTTTTTATTTGAAGTTTCCTGCTGGGAGGCTCTGCGTGAGTGTGTGAGCTCTCCTGCTGGGACTCAGTCATTCATTTTTCTCACTCAGACATCGACATGAATGACTTGAATTCAACATTTGGAAGTTGAAGTCGATTAATTTTCCCAATGGTTAGATTAAAGAATAAACTGGCATGTATGTACTAATGGTAAATCCTTGTAAATCCTCTGACTGGCAGCTCTTTGATGGTAAAAGATGTTAACCTCTTAAGCTAATCAGTCAAATCTTTTGCTGTATGTGCCTAAGTTTGCAGCATAATGTGCACCAGTCTAACAGTAGTATACAGAGCTGATGTATGTTCAGGTACAGAGTTGTTTTTTTATTTATTTTTGTGTTTGTGTTCTTAGAAACCAGACTCTAGAAGTTCTAGAGGCAGTCTGGACAGAGACGACGGTGGACTCCAACCACCAGTAAGTAACTTTCTTTCTCTGTTAGTCTAACTGTCTGTACACACAGCTGCAGGATAATAACGATCATACACACTTTTACTAAGCCTTCCTTATGTCACTGTTAAAAATGCCGATGTTATGTCATGGCCGCCTCGTCAAAAAGGGGAAGTTATTATTCTGAATTGTTTGTGTTTTAAGAGAGGAGTATGTCTTCTAACATACGCTGAGCTGGATTTGCTGCCATTGGCCGCAGTTGTGTGTTTGTTTTGATTGGACCTGAGGGGATTGATCAGGGGACAGGAAGTGACCCGTTGGGGGTGGGGGGCAGAAAAATGAGGGGTCAATGGATTCCCATAACATCACTAGTTATTAATAGAAGGCTGTTACATAAAAAAAACAAAAACAAGAAGCCATCATTTATTACATTTCAGTCCCAGTGTTTCCCAGCCTGCATGCCGGGGGTCTTTTGTTTACTGAGGTGTACTCTAGTTTAAGAAGACAACGTTTAGTGCTTTAAAACCACCAATAGAAAAAAAAAGGTTTTGTCAGAAAGTCATTGGTCTTGCAAACTTTGACAGGATTTTGTTTTCAAGATATTTTCCTGCCTTGTCAGCTTTTTTTGCTTTCAAGAACTGAATAACATACATTGTATACATATAGAGCTTTAATAATTGGTGAAACAATAGTTAAGCGATATGTTACTTAGGGGACATAGTTATTCGAAGTATGATAAGTTAGTTTACATTTCTGAAATTTCAGAAGTAGCTTGTGGTCAATGTAAACTAAATATCTATATCCTCTGCTCCTCGATGGGTTTTGAACTGTTGGCAGACAGTTGCAGTATCAGTGTTAAGAGGTTGTTGTTACTTTTTTTGTGCTGATAAGCCTCCATCAGTGTTTGACACAGATCACACTTAAAGGAAACATCATCACTTTTTACCTCCTCTAATTAACATGTTCAGTTTTTTTTTTCCTTTTTGTGAATCTCTTTTCTCTCCTTTAACGACGTGATGTCCACTATCATTTTTTGTAACTTCATCCCAGTCAGACTCGCTGTAGCCCCACACACTGATCGAGCTCTGTTTGTAGTTGTGTTCTTGATGCCAGCAGAAGTAAGTAGTCGTAGCAGTGAGAAGTTGCCGCGGGCCAGATATTTCTGTCTCTGTAATTCATCTCTCTGCTTGTCCTCCTCCTTCTCCAATTTGAATGTCTGTGGTTTGTGGTGGGAAAATCTCCCTCGCTCGAGTATGTATTTGTATGTAAAATGCTGTAGTGGAGTATTTTCGGGTGTCAGTGGTTGTCAGAACACAACACTCTTATGGCACAGAGGCTTTTTTGGAAGCACGCTGAGCAGTTTTCTCACACAGAGAAAAACAACAAAGATTGAACAATAATACAACAAAATGGATTTAAAAAGAGATTGAGAGAGAGTGTTGTAGCATAATTTTTTTCCTGCATAGCAGTAACAAAAGAAGGTCACAGACAGAATATTTTGTTAACATAAGTAACGCGGCCATAGACCACACACCACAGAAAACAGAGATTTGAGAACCTGCTGCTTTTTACAACAACAAAAATGGGACGTAGTGTCGTGCAACAAGAAAATTCAATTGGATTCCGTAAATGTTTCAGAAGCAGCTAGTGGTTTTGTGCCAGTAAAGTTCTAATTTCCTGACTGAGCACTTTCTAACCAAATGTTTTCTTGTTGTTTGTTTGTTTGTGCAGACAGGAAACCAGCACATATACCAACCCGTTGGCAAAGCAGGTAATAGATGGGCCTGTAATGGTCTGTAATTATGGTTCTAAAGTGCTATTCTTTTATTCTCTCTTCTCTTTCTGTTTCTATCAAAGTATAATGTTCATTTGTCTAACATTACAAAGCTCTTGTTAGCTATTACACAGTCTCTGTATACAAGAAGTAACAGTGTCACTGTGTGTGTGTCCTCTTAGTTTATAGAGTTTAAACATTTACCATATGTCAAATTTGATTTTGAACTCTGCAGCCTTTTAGCCGGTGAGCTAGCAAACCAACCTGTGTTCACATTGACTCAGACACCATGTGAAGCTCAATATGCCGTGTGCGAGCAGCTTGGATGTACCCGCCTTACAAGAAGCTCAAACACAAAAAATAAGACAAGCAGCAAGCTTTAACTGTAACATGGACAATTTTTTTAAGCAATGATTAACTTTTTTACCCTCGTAAGCTTTGACTTTTTTTCCCCACTTGTACTGATACATGAAGGGTTGTCGTCTGTTGGTCTTTAAACATGAAATTGCCATTTGTTTTTACTGTCATAACTGAAGGAGGCAGAGAGTCCAAAGTTAAATGTATGAAACTAATTATAAGATATTTTAAAATAGCAGAGGAGAAATCATTTTCACTTGTGTCTGTTGTGTGTTGCAGATCATGCAGCTCCCCCAAAGAAACCCCCTCGACCAGGAGCTCAGAGCCAAGTGGGCAGCCTGGCCTGTTTGAATACTGGAGATAGTTACAATGATGGAGTCAAGGTACACACACACACACAATCACATGTTAACCTTTAGCAGAAATACCGGCAAACAAACATGTTAAGAGACAAATAACACTGAAGAATACACCGAATGAACCTCTAACAATAGCAGGAATCATTTTATGTAGGTTGCATGTTTGGTATTGCTTTAAGCGATAACTTTTTACTTTTATTTTCTTCTTCTTTGGCTGCTCCCTCTCCCTCCTCCTCCTCCCCCCTCTGCACTGTGCCTCTCTGTTGACCCCCAGCCCTGGCGGGTAAGCAGCACACCGTTTGTGTGTTTACTGTGCGTCATGTCTGCTAGTGGAACATACCTTCATTCATTTGGTCCTTCGTTCATGTTTTTTTTTAATTTTCTGTCCAACCAATCAAACTCTGCGGCATTATTAAAAAGCACATATGAATAACACATCTACTGGTTAGTAATATCTTTCTTTCTTTTTCCAATTCAAGATTCAAGATCTAAGTTGTGTAATTGTTTAATGACAATAAAGACTTTCTATTCTATTCTATTCTCAAACTAAATAGTTGTGTTTACTTTACTAACACACTTAAAATTCTTCAACTCTTTTATACTAGTCACACCAGAAAACATTCTAAACTAATCATACACTGGTCATCATGTGTGTCTTTATATTGCCAGGGTGAAGATGTTTCTTTTCTCCGTATAAAAGTGTTTTTTAAGAGAGATTCCAAGGTTTGCTCATGTGAGACACATTAAGCTCGTAGAATAATCAGCTACTTTTGTATTTGGATGATGTTGGGGCAAGCAATAAACTGAACCAGGTTCAGAGCTGTGGAGGGGGATGGGTTAGGTGAGGTCAGCTACCTAGATGCAGAGCAGAGGAGACACAAAGAGATGACAAGGAACATGTGGAAGTGAGAGAGAGTCATTTGAAAAGCACTCTTGGATTAAAAAAAAAGATACATTCAAAATACATGTTTTTTTAGGATCAGGCTGTGTAGTCTATAGATCTTTAGATATTAAGAAGCCTTCTTTTACAAGTGCATTACTGCCATCTAGTGGCACAAGTTGAAAGATGACATTTTTTCCATTTCTATTTAAAATATTTAATTGATCTAAATAAACAAATAACCTATTCTGTCATATACTTACTCATCCACTCACTCACTCAATAATGTAGTTCTCCATCTGTCTAACACAGTGTGTTCTTTGTAAGACTCCCCGCAGGTGTGACCTTTCCTATTTAAGAAGCATAATTTTCCAATACTGACCCCCAGATGTGCAGCTGAGGGTCACACCTCTTGATTTAATCAAAGACCTGATTCATGTCTGTTTCTATAATCAAAGCTTTTACAGTCAACTACTTCAGGGTACATGCAGAGTTTAATTTTGGAAAATGCTTTTTGATCTTACAGATGTAAAGGTTAAGAAAAGGCTTGATTTTCTATGTATCTGGTGCTTCAACTAAACGATCTCTCATATAAACTAAAACTTTAATATTTGAAGTATAGATGACATGTGTGGGCGTCCTGATTACTCACTCTGAGCGGAGATTGATGACTGATATGGGCCCTGTGCCCGGGGAGAGCCTTGTGTTATAAGTGCCATAATCTTAATGTTGACTTAAATCTTATTGGCTTTTGAATTTAATGCATTGAACGTGCATGAAACGCTAAATAATTCATTGTTAAAAATGATTAAAAACTTGCTAGAATAAAACCCTTCAAAATGAATGAACTTACCGTTACATCAATGTAGACATCATATAAACTCGTATTTTTCATAAGCATCATACCACCCTTTTTTGTTTCATTTTCACGGCTCAGTCTCCACACACACACTTGTGGCTCTGTGTTCACTCAGTCAACCTTTTACTCAATGATTTCTGTCTCCCCTGGTTCAGCTGCAGCCACAAGAGATAAGCCCACCCCCCACGGCCAATCTGGACCGCTCCAATGACAAAGTATACGAGAACGTGACGGGATTGGTCAAGGCTGTGATTGAGATGTCGAGCAAGATTCAGCCTGCTCCTCCAGAGGAATATGTTCCCATGGTCAAGGTAACGGAGACATTGTTACTTATCTGTTACACGGTCAATGTTTCTCTCTTGAGCTGCAAACTTCGACCTTATAGCTTGAAAGCACTGAAAATATTTACATTCTCCTGCCAATACAATCGAGTGTTCTCTCTCCTCCAGCACTGTGAAGCCTTGTTTTAGTTTAAATGGCACTGAACAGCTCCACAGGGGGCTGGATTATGATACTGCTACTTCCACATAATTAATTTTAATCATCTGTTACACTACAGATACGACCTTGTGCCCTCAATAGCTGTTTCCTTTAATAGAGGAGATTAAATATTTGATGTCTTCTTGTGAGCTTCTTTGTCTTACACTCTCTTAAATGACATTATTATATCCACACTGGTTATCCAGTCCTGAGTGAGAAATACTTAATCACATTTTGTGTTTTAATAAATGTTCATGTGTATTTAACTTACAGTATTTAGAAATGTCTCCTTAATTCACTTTGTTACTGTTCTGTTTGAATTGAACCTTTTCTTTTCTTCAGCATTTGCTCTGTTTGTTGTGTTTCAGGATGTCGGTCTTGCCTTGAGGACGTTATTGGCCACAGTGGATGAGACCTTACCACAACTTCCAGCCAGTACACACAGAGAGGTAAAGAAACACATTCTCACTAACTAATGTGCTTTCACTCACACACTTAGTTTAGTGTTTTTAAAGAATATAACATATCTTTTTTTGACTGTTGTTGATTGATTTTATACACACATACTTTTCATTCACAGATAGAGATGGCGCAGAAACTTCTGAACTCTGACTTGGCAGAGCTAATTGGGAAGATGAAGTTAGCCCAGCAGTATGTGATGACCAGGTAGGTTCAGATATTAAAAAGAAATGTTACATTTAGTTTGTTATTGTTGTGTAAAGGAAAGTGTATGATGTCGATCACAGGGCACGTTGTTAGTCGATTTAAGGCCACAGCATTTATGAAATGAATTATTAATCATATTTAATCAAAATCTTTAAAATATTGCAAGAACTCATAGAGACAGACGGAAAGAGATCATGTGTGTGCAACTGTGGCTGAATCAAGCAACCACAGGGGGGCGCCAAAGTTAGAATGACAATGTAGTCCTAATAGTTGTTCTTTAAATGTAACTGCTCATCTCATTTGTAACAGGCCGTGTCATTTTGTGAATGTCTTTGCTCTGTCCTAGCCTCCAGCAGGACTATAAAAAGCAGATGTTGACAGCGGCTCACGCACTTGCAGTGGATGCAAAGAACCTGCTGGATGTCATCGACCAATCACGACTAAAGATGATGGCTCAGTCCCGCCCACACTAGCCCCACGAGAGCTGGGCTGACCAACAGGAGGCGGTCTGCTCTGAAGCTTCATTTGTGGTTCTTGTCAGCAGTGGAGGAAAATTAATAAAGACTCCTGGATGAGTGACGCCAATCATGATATTTGAGACTTGTTGGAGCTGACTGATTTATATCAAAGGAGGAAGCAGTGGCTCTGGCATTTTTACAGCAATCCGTGACAAATCCTGAGATGTTGAATCCTGTGTCAAACTCTCCACCACTGTGACTCGCTTAATACAAGAACAGAGCAACAAAACTTCCTGAATCAGGGACTCGGCAGCTTCACTCTTTTTGAACTGGAATATAAAGATGGACCCAAGATGAGCCTGATTCCTGGGGTCCCAAGTTTAAAAGGTTTAAAAACCCTCTGACAGTAACCCTATCATTGGAGCGAGTGGATGATGTGTTGTTTACATCGGGTGGATCTCAAGCGAAGTCAACAGAAACTGATCAGACTGTGTTTGATCTGCAACATATCTGCATGAAACTTCCCTGTGAGAATAGACTCAGAAGTCAGCCAGCAGCCATGTCAGTACATTTTGTGGGTGTAGTGTGTTTTGACCCCCTGGATGTGAATCTCCTCCTCAGTTGAAATACCTCTGCATTGCCATGGATTATTTCGAATGAGTAGGCCAAGCGCTGCTTTGTTTGGACTGTTTAACCAAGTAAAGACAATTCACGGTTACGTTTGGAGAAGCAGCCTCCGCCCTTCATTGCTCCTCCTGTTTCTCTCTTCCACCCATTCCCGTCTTCCTTCTGTCTCACCAAGTTTTATTTATCAGAAATTTCAGAGGAGGAGACGGAGGAACAGACGGTAAGAAAAAAACTGCTGCCTGAGAAAGAAAACACTATGCGCCTCTTTCCTCTCTTTTTCTCTCTATTGTCATCTTACTTTTTCTTCTGTTTGTTTCCATCCTTTCCTCCTTCCTTAAGTCTTCCTCAGCTCTTCTCTGAGCAGGTTTTTAAGACTCCTAATGTGAAGAATCCAACTGTGTCTGGGTAATCACAACAGACAGGAAACTCCCTACAAGCACTCATTTTAGTCAACTCTTTATGGCGGCTGGCTCCTTGTTTTTTTTATGTCGTTTACTTCAGTCACATTCTTCTTCCTCTGTACTGATAATCAATCCCAGCATTGACTCTGATGAGCAAAAAAAAGAAAAGAAAAAAGAAATAGTAGGTGGATTTAAGGATTTTGAAGTCTGAAAGACTTGATACTTCCTGTTCATCAATGAGGCAAGAGGAGGACGTCGTTGCCTCAAACTGATCTACCATTTCTTTCTGTAAGTTGAGTGTTTCCTCTTCCTTACTCTTCACCTACAGTCCCATATCGGTCAGTTTCTCCTCAAATAGGACTGATGTAACACCTTGAACTCTCAAACACCCGGGAACACAATCAAACCTCAGAACTGGAACCTTTGTGCTTTGAATCCCAGTTTCCCAGTTGTGTAACTCTTTAGATATTTCCCCCTCTAACAACAGGGAAACAAACACACATGAAATGTGGAGCCTGAGACTGGGAAAAACAACAGAAAATACAGCAGATCACGTGTGTCTTTGTTAATACTGACCCCACATGGAGTTTGACCTACTCCTATATCAAATATACTGGTGTCTGCACTGGTATAGCATGGTATACTGGTATGGAGAGAGCATATTTGCACAGCACCAAAATAAAGAATAAAAACACTTTTGAACCTTATTCAACCCAGATTGGATTTTCATGTTCAGCCAGTGATGACATCATCAATAACCTGGGTGGTACAGGGATACAAACTGCTTACAAAACAAAAAAAATCTATTTTATCTCCTTGTTGTTGTGTAAATCTGCTCATGTTGGTATATTGTAAGCTATACTGGTGTGTATCACTGGTGAATTGTACAGAACTCGTACTAGTAAACACTGGTTTTTATTTTGTCTTCTGGGCGAAATCAGCCATCTTGTCAAATAGATGAAAAAAAAACAACAATAAAAATAATGACGAAATGGAAATCAGCCTGACCACATTCTTATTCATGATAAGTATTTAATTTTCTGTTTTGTGTCTGATGTTTGGAGAATGAGAGGTTGTTTTATTTACATATATAGTATATATTGACAGAGATGTGGGGAGGTAGGCTCATTGCTTTGGTCCATGCTCTTCATGTTAGAGTTTGTTTTTTAAACAGCAAGACAAAATGAAAGGTTAGACAGGATACTTCTGGTTTTATCTGTGAGCTACAGAACATCACTATTTTCTTCAAACTGATCAAGACTTGACAAAGAAACAAAAACATGTTGTTTTTTTTCTCTCCCCTTTTATGTCTTAGAATGTTCCTCTTTTTCTTTGTTTTTTAAGTCTTAATTTTCATCATTTGAAGTCTTAAAACAGAAAAGTTGACTCTAAAGATTTTGTCCCTTCATTGAGACAGCCTGTTTGGAATTAATTGAATGTAGCACGGACACTTAATGACCTTTCTTATAAGTCTAACCACTGTAAATACTGTATGGAAATTCATTTAAACCCTTTTAAGTCATTTTAGACAGTTTTGAAACATTCAGAAATATCTCATAGTACATCGAAAACATTTATTTGTGGGATTTTTTATGCCTTTACTTTAAAGACAGCACTGTGGAGAGAGAGAGTGGTAACAAACTAACCACTAGGTTACCGGCACCCCATCCATTGTCTTTTTTTAATTTTTTTTTAACAAAACACTAAAAGAATTTCCATACAGCAACATAAAGAACGTCAGGTTTCTGTCAATAATTTACAACCATGTAAAAAATAATATTAACAAGCTCTATGTGTTGCCAAAATACTAACAGGATTAAACTTTAAACTTTAGTCTTTACATGATAGTTATATTACATTATATTACACAATCAAAACCTATTAGATACATTTATCCCTACACTTCTCAGACTGCGACCCCTCTGACATCAGCATGACAGCAGGAATAGCATACCTGCAGTAAGAAGTAGCACTGCTGTGTGGATGTGAACAGACTCGGCTCCGCTGAAGTTACACAAGTTAAAACTGTTGCAGCAGTCGACAGTGTTCCCGTTCCCGCTCGAGTCCACAGAGGCGGAGGCAGCTGCTCCATTGCATGTGGCCTGGCTCGCACACTGCTTCGAGATGACTTTGGCAGAACCTGGCCGACACACACAAACAGGACGTTGGAGTGAGTTTTGATTGAAGTTGCATTCACATTTTTGGAGTACTGCTTACTCCAGCCAGACTGACAGCATTTACAATCAGAAGCCTGAAAATGTGCAGTTTTGTAACATCCTACATGTAATACTTTCAACGTTACCTAAAATGTCCACAACAGTCATACAGGTGTCCTGCGGCTCCTGACACTCCTCATTGTTCGTGTTGCATTCTTCATTAGTGACAGCAGAAGAGCACACATAGCAATCAAGTGACAGCACTGCAGCAGAAGAGAAAACAGAACTTTTAGAATCATACACATTTTTTTGAAAGATACAAGACCCAAAATTGACATATGGATATTTATGATTTCTATATATAGTTAATGGTGGGGTGCATATCTCCCCATTCACTTTGTATTCACCACCTCATGTCAGGTCATCATGTTTTGTGGTGCTTTTACATTCTAAGATACTTAATGAAGAGACAATGAGTTAGAAGTTGTCCTTGTTGAGAGTTATTTACTTCTTTTTTTTAAAGGAAGAATTTGGGATTCGAGTAATCCATAGTATCTTCCCCTTTATTAGAATCAACAATGCCAGAAAACAAGTTGTTAGTGTATGTTTAAATCCAAGCAGCCTGAGATTTATATGATATCCTTGCTGTAATAGCGAAAGAAAATTATAGAACTACAGAAACATTTATTGAGACATTATAAAGCCACATAAGAAATCCTCTTGAATAGAAAGACAGCTACTCCCATAGATGGCGTGTCTAAACTCGCCGGGCTTGTTTCTTTAATTATAAAGACTGGTGAGTATTAAAAAAGAGGCTGCATACTGTTCCTCCCATTCAGAGTTTATTGTTCTGCTCTGCTATTAATCAGCATCTCAGTGAAGACACACACATTTAAGGTGCACGGGTGTTGTGATTGAAATCACAGTCTTAACAAAAAAAATCTAAGGAGAACAAAATAAAAATCAATTAATAAAAATTAATTTTTTAAAGTCTCTACTTTTTTTACTGCAGTTCCTGGTTGTTTTAGACTATAATTAAACTTTAATGTTGGTAACACCTTCACCACAACTACTAAGTGTTCAAATAGAAAGGTGCCTAAATTGAATAATTGGTCATTAACAAAGACAAGTACTCCATCACAAAGTTTAGCCTTATGTTGAAAAAAAAAATCCCTTATTTACTTCTAGGTACAATCAAATGCAGTTGCTTGCTTAAAGTTTGAAATGTATTTTCCAGAAAAATCTGATATTTAAAATTTCACTGTGAAGAGTAGAATTGTACTTTTCTTTTTAAGCATATTGCATTGGACTTTCTCAGGAAAGGAGCAGGGATTTTAATTTCTTTGTATTGTTTTTTTTTAAACCCTGAAACTAAATCCCCTTCTGGCACATTATGTCACTGCTTCCAAACTAAAGCCTTGATGTCTGTTCTCCTTTAAAAACTGTAGAAGTGTTTCCACAATGAAAAAGAGTCCCCTGTCCCTTTTCCCCTTAGCCCCACACTATGTGAATGCTTTCTTACCTGGTGAGATGAGTAGAGAAAGGAGAGCGAGGCTGAGCAGCATCTTTGTAACAGGCGTCATTATGCGTTCAACAGCTGGGCCTGAACTGTCTGCTGTCAAACAAGGTAGTCTGCTCTGTGTGTTTACATGTGTCAGTGGTTTCTATTGTTTGTTTTTTAAGAAGCATTTGATCAGATTGGTCCGGCCCACATCATCTCCTGTCATCACTGCACGGCACAGAAAGCATCTCATAAATGTCGTCTCCTTTGTGTGTGCAGGACATTCCTTTGGTTTCACAGATACTTGCTCTATATTTATCTTCTGTCAATCACCCACAGCCAGGCAGACAAGTAAACCCAAACACAGTGTGTGTCTGTGCAGTCTAAGGGGAACACCTTTAATGTCATCAACCTACAAACTAATGAACATCAATGTATGTTCAGCTCAACCTGTGCTGCAGGATTTTCTTGCTCCAGGCATTATCACGTGTTGTACAGTATTGCTACAGCAAACATGTCGGTTTCTTTTGAACTATAATGTAACCAACATTTTTACTGTTTGGAGAGAGCTTCGCAGACATTTCTTGTGCTATATATCTCACTTTGTCTGCATAGAAAAACTACAGCTCCATCAAAAAGTACTGCTGCACTGATCCATAAAACTCTCAGTCTCCTCTAAAAGTCTTTTCTATACATTTTATTTCAGCTTTGCTTATTTGATCTGAAGTTAAGCAATGATATTAGGTTCGTTACCAGACACCAATTCTGTATAATTGGTTAACATAGCAGAGCAGTTAGCTGATAAAAAGCCAGATCTATACCTCAGGACGTGGCCGAGACCATAACAGAAATAAGAGGAAAAGGATTAAGGAAAAACATCAGACTCCGAAAAAAAGCAAACGCTGCTAAGTGTGCAGCAACTATAAGATCTAACAAGTTCAGTATTTCAATGTTGTTCTCGGAACTACATTTTTCCACCCTCAAGTGGACAAAAAAAGTCAGCTATTTTAGGTTTGAAGGTCCGGAGCCCCTGAAGTCCCAAAAAGTAATTAAAAAAAATCTTGTGCTTGTGATATCATGATGTGCTCACAAGATATCATAATGTGCGTGCAATGTTGTTGTTTTTGGACTTCAGGGGCTCCGTATGAAACAAAATGTAACACAGGTTAAATAATTTACTCAAATCATCGGGCCACCTGTTGACCAAAAAGACAAAATTCAAAAGCTGAGGTTAAAATGTGTCTGTCAGACAGGTGTGATTACATTGGATGTCTATAAATGCCACATCACGTAAGTGATGACCATTTTTTGTTTTTTCCTTAAAACACTGCAACCCAAGTGGAAATGCATTAAAATCAATAAAATTATTCTGGTCATATATTTATTTTTATTGACTCTTCAAACCAAAATAACAATCTACTGTGATACTGCGTGTTTTCTTTCACGACAACTGCATCCCTATGTGGCCGTGAAAGTTTTTTTTTTACATTCCCAGATGATTGAAAGCAAACGTCAGCTTGAGATTTGTAGCACACACCCAGATAACACACACCCAGATACACACACACACACACCCACTCAATTAGTACACACCAAGCTCACACTGACAAACACACTTTTCTTTTCTGTGAATCAAAATATATATCCTGATGCCAAACCTGATGCTGAAATAACGAGGTTCCCTAAGCCCAGCATTAAGACAGTAAATACTAAAATACACACACCCACACACACACCCACAAACACACATCCACAGGAAGCATGTTAGTCAAGTCTGAACTGTCTAACAGAAACCAGTTGAGCAGTTTCACTAATTATCAGCCTTCTGAGCTTGGTGATCTGATTGCACGTATCTATAAGCACAAACTAGTTTTGGCAGAGACAGTAACAGAGGATGGAGAGTTTCTTCAAATCCCCACAGATCTCTGTATAGCAAAGTTTGAATAAAGTCATTTATATCAAAGTCTTGAATTTGATGTATGTCTATTACTGTAAGCTAGTTTCAGATGTTTTAAAATGTTATCCTCTTTGTGTTTCATTGTAGCTTTGGATTGAGGAGTTAAGAGAGGAGAGGAGAGGAGAATATTAAAATGAGGATTGAGCGCTCTAATGTAATTTCAGACCTCCACCAGCTGAGGGCAGAATAGGGCAAAACAACTCTGGGTGGTTCATGAGAGTAAACTTAAGAGTGGAAGCAGAGTAAAGCAGGTGTACCATTTATGCTTTTATGAATATGGCAACAGATGTGTGTGTGTGTGTGTGTGTGTGTGTGTGTGTGTGTGTGTGGCTGTTGATGTAATATTTACTTTTTCGCCAAAGGACACAATTCTATAAGCTCAAAGTGAACATAAACTCCTGCGCCAAAAAAAAACCACTCTCCATGGAAGCTCCATAATATAATGGTTCATAATGGGAGCAAATGGGACATCAAATCGCATTGTAGCAAAAGAACACCTTTTTACATGAAACGAATGAATCTGAATGAGATTCAAAAACTATTTAATATAAAAAAGAGACTGTTAGAGAGACAGACATCTTAAAAACAGTTTTAAAAAAAAAGAAAAGCCAAACACAGTTAGTTAGTCAGTTTCTCATTTCAACAACCATACATTAGTTGCAGCACTAAATCATGACTAGAAGACGTCGTTCAGCCTGTGAAGATGCTAAAAGAAATTGAAGTTTGCATGGCATACTCAGAGAAATAAAATATTGCTCATCCAAATAAAATATAATGATAATTTGATAATATGTAACAATCCATCTCAAGGTCACAATGCTTCCACAACTATCAAGTTGTACAGGGTTCTTCACTTGTCACATTTACAAACATTTAAACACATCGGCTGTCACAGCGTATCACACCTACAGACTAGACTTTACTGTTCTTTAATAATTATTGAAGTTATAAAACGATTTTGAGACTGCATAGTATCATCTCATCTGCAGCATCCCATAATATGTTGTAGAGGTAGGTGTCAAAGAAGACATGGTCTAAAAAAACATTCTTAAACAACAGCAAGGTGGCCAGTCTTAAAGTCAGTCAGTCCAATAATAATCTACTGTGTGTGACTCTCACCATGATACAGAAATCTCTGTGAAAAGCTCACATTGGACATTATCATCAGCTCACCATAGTAAAACTGTCTGTCATTTTAATTGTAATAATTCTATGAACACCAATACTGTTTGAGTTGTTGAGACTTATCAGCTAAGGAGGCAGACAGACACAAGCAATGCCACTATTGTGAAAATATGGAAACAATTTGTTTCATACTTTAATTGTACTTTCCCCTTCCTCCAAAAGTCTTAACATGCTGCATAAAAAGAGAATAAAACACTGGAATACGCATACAATCTTGGTTCAACAAACATAACCAACACGTAACATTACCACACACACACACACACACACACACACACACACACACACACACACTCTGGCCAACAGATGCTTTAACAAAGCAGACTCCACATGTGTGGACCACACTGTCAGTCGCCCTCTGATTCAGATGTGCTAAAGTTTCCATTCAGAAGCTATTTTAGGAAGCAGCAGCAAATCCCAGAGGGGTGAAAAGGGCTTTTCACTGTGACCCCACAGGTAAGGTTCAGGGAGGGAGCTCAAAGGTCACTACCCACTGTCAGTGGGGTTCAGGGGTTTCCCTAGCTTCTGGGTCCCATGTGATGACATGAAAAGGGAATCCAGAGGGGTCCACATTGAATGCAGATGTGTGTGAAGGTTTCAAGATGTGAGCCCATTTCTAGGAAAAGGGCTTAGACAATGTGAGAAATAATTTTTAAATAATTTTGCTTTTATATTTGTCAGCCCCCCTTGTTGCTACATATAGAGCAGCAGGATCTTAAGTGTTAGGTAACAGGTAACTACCTCATTCATTCATTCGTTTTTTTGTTCTTTTGGCTCCTATATTCATTTATTTTGGATGTTGGCACTAAAATGAGTTTTATGTTTTCTCTAACTTTATTTTATTTTAAAATGAGACAGGTAAGGTCATAATATTAATCTGACTTTGAACACAGTGTGGAGTCTCGGTTTATGGAGTATAACGCCACCTCTCCAAGTATTTCTTACCAGATAATATGTACAGTATCGAGGCAAAAGAGTTTTTGACTGTATCAGAATTTGTGAGTTTTCGTATTATATTGAATTTGATGGAACGTTTTTGTGTATTAAGGGAATCCAGAGATAGAGGAAAATAAAATAAATGGATTGACAAATCCAAAGTAAAAGAGCATCGCACTTGTTTTGGACTTAGTTCAGAACACAAGTCCTGGACTAGTTCACCAATTCACAGCTCAGGGACTTATTTAAGTCTGCAATTACCAGTGAATGTGTCGAGATGGGCAAACCAATGTTTGTTAAAAACTTGCATCTACAATGTTAATACTTCCACTTCCCTCTTTAAAGTTAAAGCTCCTGTGAGGAAATGTTGGTTGTGTCAAAGTCGGCAAACCTCTGGGTAGCTCTTGTCTTTTTGCTGATCTTGTCCTGTACATGAGTAAGTTGTGTTTTACAAAAACTAATCTTGACTGCTACATACTCATCTGCCACTTATGTGCTTACAGACATTAAAAATGACTACAAAGATTTAATCAGTCTTTATGGATTTAATTGCTTTTGTAGGTCATATAGCGGCATTAGTACTCATTTCAGTCTGTTTATAAGTCAGCCTTAAGCTTCCCCCTTGTCAGCACTTACACTGTAACATGTAAATGATGTCTCCTGATGCTCTTTCACCTCATGAAACAAACGTGAAGAAAGTGTTTTAGTGTTGAGACAAAACAAAGAGATCCGAACTTGGTAAGTAAAATACACGTTTATTTTGAAATGTTGAGTTTTTTAGGATAATCCAGGCAGATACAGGAAAAGGCAGTTTGGAGTATAATTCAAGTAGTAAACAAAACAAAACCACATTCCAATATATACACATTCATGTTTACATGACTCTTCAAAAGTTGTGTATTTGATACACACTCAGTCAAACTATACAGCAAGTATTTACAAAACTTTGTCATTATAAAAACACCTGTTGTTCAGGTGCACTACTTTTCTACTTTTCTACATAATGAGGGTAATAGACATTTTGCATTTTACAACAAGGTTGTAAGCTTTCAGGCAGATGTTAGAAGTGGCACAAAGTCACCACAGTGTCTTGTCTTGTCATAGACTGAGCCTGTTTGGACGAGGTCAAAGTACATAGTCCAGAACATTTCAAAAATGTGTCCTGTAGATGAGAGATTTCTGTAGCAGATAAGGTGAAAGGTAACAGTTAATAAAATGCTTCTTATATTTTATTGATTTCAACCGGATTACAGTTTGTTTATACAATCTATATATTATCTTTGATTGTGTCTGAGTATACAGTATGTTTAAATGTATTGAGAAAGAAGATGTCTCCTTAAGGTTGTTGCACTGCCAAAGCCTTCATTCTCAAAATGTGAGCTAAGTATGTAAAACCACCTCTTAATAACTGAAGTCTGTAACGAATGATTGACAAAAGTTTCTACCCTGTATGTATATATCACAAGGTTTAAGTGCTTTATTTCTACTTTTAATATTGCAGATGACTTTTATTAGTCCACAGGATGTTACACAATGAAATCCCTCTCCAGGAGAGACATACAGAGATATTTAATTCTCTACTATCTTAACCTCAAAAGAGGATTCTCACTTTATAAAATAGACATACAATTTTGACCTGAACGAGCAGATACAGTCAAATTTTCTGGTCAATATGATATAAGTGAATGTGGTAAGATTGTAGGTTTTCATGATCATAAAATTAAGAGTTAATATAACTCGTGTTGTCCTGGATGTACAGAAGGGGTCATTCATTTAAATCTTGACCTCCTGTTATATATGGAGTTTTTCTAATGGCCTATAACCTCATGCCACTGTAGCCCAGCTCTGATGGCAGCCAAACGGCGTTGTCTCGGGGGCAGTGGCTGTGGCAGGCACAGGTCAGGATGGCCATCACTGGCTTCCTGGTGGTTTTACCGTTACATTTAAACTCCACCAGTGCGGTCTTGGTTCTGTGGGGGGTGCAGCAGCGGCCATCTGTGCAGGAGCCACAGTAGCGAGGCTTGTAGGCCTGTACACTGGTGCAGGTCTTATAGGAGAGGTGGACAGCTTTGACACTCCTCACCATCCTTTGGCACTTACTGCCTCTCTGCAGGGAGACAAAGAGACAGAAGTTATCACTAGAGAAACCTAAGCATTTTGTTTGCCGAGAGCTGTCTTTAAACCAACAACTTTTAAATTCTAATGATAGTGGCAAAAAAATAAAGCTAAACCTAAAAAAGGAATCTCAAAAAGAACATATAGTTTGTTCAAAAAAACATCCAAAAAAGTACCTTTGGTGCAAGCAGTGCCAGCTGAGTCTGGTCCTGCTGGTCGTCACATGGTCTGATCATACACAATCGGCTCTGTTTCACCATTTCACACCGGCTGTTCTTATTGGTGACTCTGGTGGACACCCCCATGCCACAGGTCTGAGAGCAGGCACCCCACTCTGTGGTCTGTTCAATGCAGTTCAGGCTGGGGTCCCAATTGTCGAAGCTCACGCTTTCCTCTTGACGATAAGCTGAAGAAACACGACAGGTCATCTTGTTAAAAGGCCATAAAATGAAAAAACTAAATTCAACTTATAAATAAAAAACTTGAAACTAAAGTATGAGGTTTTGGTAGGTTATTATCTTTGATTTTTTTCCCCTTCTCCTTTTAGAAGCAAACCATTTTAAAATTAAAGTTAAAGTCTGCAGGATGAGGTGTTGGTAGGAAAAAGCTTTCAAAATAAAAGTATTTTCTATAGAAAATGAGCAAAAGGATCCCTGATTTGCTTAAATTGGCAGTAAAGTGTTTTCTCATTGTACTGTTTCACACTCAAGACTGAAATACAAAACTTTCCCTTTCATCTTTGTTTCCTCCTCCTGTCTCAACCCCCTCATCTTTTTTTCTCATATCATTCCCTCCTTGGTTCCTTCTCCTAATCAGGTCAAATGTACATGACCTTTCAACTCTGCGTCTCACACTGCTGTGGCAGCAACGTCAAAGAGGGATCGGCAACTTTATGTGTGTATCTGTGCAAATGGCCTACTTCATCCCATCTGAAAATGTTTACCTGCCATTGCAAAGCCTCCAAGTGCACTGGCCTCAGCCAGGGGCTCACACACCCACTTCTCGCAGCACTCTCCTGGCACCTGCACTCTGCGTGGCATGGGGCAGTCTGGCCCCGGCAACATCACATCCACATTGCAGCGTGGCACACAGGCAATCTGCCCGTCTCGACACATACACTGGTATTTGCAGCTGGGGAAGAAGGTCTGACCATTTTGATAGACAGAACCATCCAACACACACACAAGTCCCTCATGAGCTAGAGGACAAAATACAGAAAAGTGGGTTAATCATCGCGTATTATTTAGTTTTTTACAATTAAAATAAACTGTATCTCACAAAAAAAGTAATGACAAAAATATGAAATCACGCTCTGCATTTGTTCAAACAACATTTTCCCATATACTTAAAGTCGTGCATACTATACTGGAAATGTTATCATCCACTCACCGACGCAGATGCCGGTCCTCTTGTGGATGTCTGTGCTGTATGCACACTGCAGCCCTTTCCGTGTGTCACAGGGGTGCATCTCAGAGCACACCTGCCCCTTCTCACGGGCACATACCAGACAGCAGACGCAGTCATCCAGGACCAGGGGCACCCCAGGGGGACACATGGGGGGCTCTTTAGGACACTGGCACCTCCGAGGACACACCTGGGACAGGGCCAGTGTAAACACCTGAGAGGCAAAGTAAATACAGGTAGTAAAGGTAGTAAATACACTTTTTAATGGTATATATTTTGCAGTTGCTCTGTACCTGAACCTAAATCAAAATGACTAGTTCTTAACAACAATGATTAAACAAAATATACACAAAATAAAAGTGAAACTAATTTTCATTGTACAACAGCTGGTTTTCTTTTGTTACATAAATGATGTTATCGTTCTTCTTCTAAAATTGCAAAAACAGTGACTTCAGCAAACATCACCAGAAGTTACAAAGTAAAGTTGATGCATTCTGGTGGTTAAAAGTCGCTAAGGGATAAAAGGCAAGCTTACTCCATGCCACACTGGAGGCTACATTTATTCCTTGAGGTTTTTTTTAATGCATGAAATTAGGCTTAGAGCTTTTTTTTTTCCATTTCAGCTGATATTCTGATTTTCCTGCACTTATATTAAATAAATATAACTAGTCTTTTTAAAAAGTAGCTTAAACATGTTTACCAATTAATCAATTTAAGCAAATTTGAATCGTTGTTTTCCATAATTTCAAATGGTTTGATTTGCAGATATTTCAATAGTATCACTTTTTTTCCTGTGTTAAAATATTAACCTTATTGGTCATAATAAAAAAGTAAATATAATAAAGTATTTATTATCAATAAACCTCTACGGAATTGAGTAGCTTCCTAGAATTTCTATCCTATAAAAAGACAAATCATGTATTCAGTTACTGCCTACCTGTGCTGTAAAGAAGAGAAAAAGCACTCTCTCTGACATATTAGTCATCTTCTTGTAAAGTGGAGAAAGATCAAAAATATCTGCTGTTTCAAAAGTGTTAAGTAGTGTCTCTTTGAGTTGAGTTGAGTCCTTGGGTTCAGGGTTCTCTCTCTCTCTGGCTGTGTTGAAGCAGAAGGTAATGATCTCTTTGTCGTTCTTGCTCAACACTCTGGACAGGAGGACCTTATATAGAGGAGCTGTCCTGCTGGCACCATGACGACAAACAAGAAGGAATGTTTGAGAGATCTCCCAGTGTTGGAGGAAGACGAGAGTCACATTTTATTGTGAGATCCTGTCAAAGAGGGACCCATAAACATACAGAGTGACGTTTCAATCTATTGAATTTTGAAAGTAGACATAGTCTTGAATTTATTTTGAGTCAGTCAAAATGATACTTAACTCTAAGATTATCAGTTAACTGGCATTCATTTGAAGTGTCCATGTTGGATTTCCTGTTTAGTCCAGGATGTTCATGTCATCACATGGGTCTGGGGGTTCCCATTCTTTGGTCCCATTGACAGTGGGTGGTGACCCTTTGAAACCCTACATGGAGGTCAGAGTGGAAAGTCCTCTTATCCCCTGTGGGATAGTTACAGCCTCCTAAAATAGCTTCACAGTGGAAACTTTGGTTCATCAGCAGCTAAGATGGACACATCTGGTCAAAGATGTGTTTTGATTTCTTTGAGCAGATGGTATGTGGATGCAGGGGATATAGCTGACTGGATCCCTAAAGAAAGGGAGTGCAGAAACCAAATAAATTGGAGTTTGTTTACAATGTAAGTGAGCATAATGGAAAAATTAAGAAATGCAATTTGATGTTGTGTTTGTGTATTATCATTTTTCTAATCATCTAGAAATCAAACCATCTTAAATTGTTTATAAATCATTATAAATGTATTAAGTAGGACATTTTCAGAAACCAAAATGTCATAAAATATAAGGCGCTAACAAGAACAGAAACAAAGCATATTAAAGGCAAATTCAATAAGTTAAAAGTGCTGGAACAAAAGTTTAGATTTTCCAGTGTAGTAACTTGAACTGGATATTTGATGTAATTCAGAGTTTTTAAATTTGCATTGTTTAATTGTAAAAAAAGGGAAGGAAGGAATTCTTCCATTTGAATGATTGGCACATTACATATAGGTGATTTAATTATAAGCTGCATATGCTAATACTTCGTCACAGGTAAGCTATATTTCAGATCACAGATCAAGATCAAGATTTCACGTTGGGCTATCTATGCCAATTAAGGAATGTGTAGATCAGATTCCAAGTTGGTGTATATGAATTTGACCCAAAAAATTGGTGTAAATATTGTACATGTCTAAGAAAGCTAATGGTAAAAAAAAGACGACGCAGTTAAGTCTGAAGCTAGATTCAGATAGTTGAGGCTAGACACTAACTTGGTCAACATTACTTAGCTGTCCCTAAAATAAAAAGATTTTGTTCTTCACATGGGAACGGTTCATTTGAAGAGTCAGCTGTTAAGGCCTAGGTTTGTCGTTTTATTTTTAAAGACAGCAGAAATACCAGTGTTATCCAGACTGAGGATTTTGTGAAGTCTTGGTCTAAGGTTAGAAGCTAACCTTGCTTCCTTGCTAACGTTTACTGCTTATTTAATGAGCAGTGCAACTTCGTGTTTGGCTCATGGATAAATGCCAGTGGTCCATGTTAAGTTCACAGGTGTGAATATAGCATGTGCAAGAAGCATAGGCCTATTTGAATACAGGTTTTACAGCTACAGACTGATGTAGCTACACTGCACTTGATCCAGAGTCACCTGGATGGTACGAAGAATTCTGCACGGTTGCTTTTTATCGACTTTTCCTCCACTTTTAACTGTACCCAACCTCACATTTTAGCAGATTGACTTACCAGCATCTTCAACACTGACCCTGGTTTAATATGTTGGCTGATTTACTTTTTAACCGATAGATCTCAGAAAGTAAGTGTAAATGTTTTTTTATCTTCTACCGACTCTACCCAGGGGTGTGCCCTTTTATCACTTTTATTTGTTTTTTTTATACAAATGACTGTCAATGTCATTAAGACGGATCAAATTCAAGAATGACTCTGTAGTTGTGTTGTTTCTTGGTGATGACAAGTCTGACCTTGGTCCAGTTGGCTGATTTCGCTAAGTGGTGCAAACACTCCTTTTTTAGAAATCAGTGGTTAAAACTAAGATGACTATTTAGCCTTCACCTGTTACCCCCATCTCAATTGATGGGCAGGCTGATGAGGTGGTGAACCAGCACAGATTGAGGACAATCATAGATGACACTCTCACATTTGAAGCCAACACTGATGCTGTATGTGCAAAGGCAAAGGTTTTTATCGAAAAACAGGAATTTTCATGTTGACTGTTTTTATGAAAATGTTTTATTCTTGTTTTATTGAGTCTGTTTTAGCCTTCTCTTTTATCTGCAAGTTTGTGTAGTGTTGATGAAGGAGCCCTTTTATACAGAGCCAGAGCTACAAAAAATGCACAGGCTGTCCTCACCCCTTGACACACAGTACAAGCTGCTGCCATCTGGTCACATACTGTACTGTATATACTCTGCCTAGGTGCAGGATGAACAGATTTAAAAACTAATTTGTCCCTGGTACCATTGGTTTCCTCATAAGCATCATGTGAATTATTTCGTGTTATTTGTGTGTAATTCAATTTTTCCTATTTTATTCACTGATGGATGTAAAGCAAATTGCCCCTTGAGGATGATAAAGTTTACCTTGAACCTTGAAGTGTGTGGATGGAAAAATAGAGGATTTTGTTCCAGGTTATAAATTGACTAATGCTAATGAATTGCTGTTATCCAACTTTTAAAGGTGCCTTTTAGAAAATACTTAAATCTTTGTACGTTAACTCCTCAGTCATATAGTAGTATTCTCCTTTGGAGCCCACCTTTTCATAATAAGTTGATTGAGTCCAAATGGTTCTGTATCCATTTTCACAGCTTCTCTGTTAGGTAAGCCAGATCCACTGGCATCAACTACAAGCTAACTCTACCTAAAGCCAGACCTGGTTTTGGCAGTTTGTTTTTCAGTTTTTGTTGTCAATATTTTGCACTGTCCTACTGGGTTGACCAAAGGAATGTTAGTACTGGTTACACTATATAGCCACAGGAATAAGTCTAAATAGCTTAATGAAAGGCAACATCTTGAAAGCTTTGTGACAGCTTGGCACAGAATGGCAAGAATGAGGTGAAAAGTCTGCATACGCACATTTATGGTATCTGTGAAATATTTCCGCTGTAGAGGAATATATGGAAGAAGATTTGAGATCAAATAAAGAGAGGAAGGCTGTATGCTGGCTTCATAGAAATATGGAGTATGCAGAGACAGATGTGAGGTCAAACTGTGTCGCTGTACTGTACAAAGGCTTTGCTGTGTATTTGTGATTGTCTGCATGCTCCTACCTTCCTGAGGGGGTCTGTGGTCATTCCTTTGTTGAACACCTTGTGTTATAATCACACTCATCTTTTGTTTAATCTTAAATAGGCCTCATCCTCCAGTGGTAGGAAGTGTTTCAGTCCCATTTTAAACTATGGTTTGACAGTCTTTTCTAAACAGACGGATCTGTAAAAGCTAAACTGCAGTCTGCTGTCGAACTGCTAGCTGTTGGTGTTGGACTCTGCCGCAGGGCATCGAGTTGTGAGCCAGCTGGTGAGGCCACACACTGGATACAGCTACTAAGGGGTCAGCATGATTCACTCAGAGTTTACAAGTACAGTGCAACATCGTAATGTTTTTCAAATCATACAGTTACATGTGGTTTACAGTGTGTGGCAAAATATGTGGAGGATTCAGCTGCTGCTTTGACCCTTTCATTAAGCCATGTAGCTCTGTTCAGGGCTATAAACTTAATGATAGAAAGGTAAAAGGTTTGTGTATGATAAAAATGAACCTTCTATCAGGTACTGTCCTTTCTATTTATTCTTCTCCTCTTTTCTTCTAACCCATCTCTTTGACCTATTTTCTGTCATGCACACATTGCTAGTTTACATTACATCCTTCATGCATTCACAAATTAAAGTGAGTGGTGATCGTTATTTCAATTTGTTTCCCAAGTCGTCATCAGGTGTTTGGCTTAACAGCTTGGGAGGCCACACAAATCTCTCACTCAGGGTTTATTTGATGTACGCCACTATACATGAGCTGAGACACCGAGACGGAGGCAGATGTGTGCTTTGGTGGGTGGCAGGGTAAATGGACGCAATATGAAGCTTCCACTAATAAAATAATCACTATGGAAAAAATCTCAGGACGTATTTCAAGCATAAGAGACATGTTGGCCTCCTGCGTGAAAGAGGAGGCAACAAGGTCTTTTGGAAGGAATCATCAGGCTTTGAAAGAAGCAATGGTTAGCATTTTAACTGTGGAGCTATTGCACAATAGTTTACAACAGACAATAGCTGAAAAGTCCCCAACTCAAAAAGATGTGTTTATTACATTTCTCAAGATTTTCTGTATTCAGTTTTTTAACCTTTATTTATCCAGGTTAGTCCCATTGGGATCAGGGATCTCTTTTTCAAGGGAGACCTGGCCATGAACAGCACTTCCCTTTAAGATTGAAAAAATACTTCTGATATTATATTGGAAAATACCCCCTTTTGTACAAGGTTAGTTGTGTGTCTGTTGGTAACATAAGCTATCACTCGAAATAGTGTCTTTAAAGGAGAGTATGGATTTATTTCTTAATGTAATATAAACATATTGAAGTTGAAAAAACATGATCTTTGGGTGAAGAAACCACATAGCATAATAAACTATATTGACGCATGACACCCTAGATTTTCTTGACTTAACAATACAGTTTACCAATAGAGAACATAAAGCTGACATCCATCATGGACAACCCCTCTCAACCCCTGCATGACACTGTGGGGGCTCTGAGCAGCTCCTTCAGCAGCAGACTGAGACACCCACCCTGCAAGACAGAGCGCTACCACAGGTCGTTCATCCCATCTGCCGTCAGACTGTTTAATCAGACTCTTTAACAGCATCACCACCTCATGATTAATTTCAATAAGGCTACACACTGTGTGTGTTTTTTTAATAACAATAACTCTTTCCAGTGTAGTTACTGTGTAATTTTCCATTATTGTATTTTTTTTATTTAACTGATGTAAATATGTTTGATTCAATTTTTAACTTCTATTTTTGA